TACGCTCAGAGGATATAGGATAGCTATCAGTGTTTGATCATCAATCTCTCCGAAGTATTCGTTGGGTCTGTTAGGAACATCAGATTGGCAATGCTGAGGTACGCCAGATGGTTTTAAGAAGGCGCTCTCCCGCATTAGATGAATTACTCATTTTTCATGGTTTACGCTAGTTAGAACATGTACACCGCATGCCGGGAAACCGTCTGCCCCGAAGAGACCCTTTACGCCCAGCCCTATGCTGAGTGGAGGTTACCAAGAGGTGAATAGTGAATATGAAAACACTAACCAGTAGGCTAAGTCGCGTCGACAGTCGCCTAATGCCTCACCCTATTCCCGAAATAACTAAATATGACGTCGCCTCCAGTCCTTGACTCTAGATCCCCACCTTTCCAGTTTATGGTGACCGAAACCGTAGCAGCTGAAACCAACGTACCGTTGGTTCAATTAATTGATTATTTTAAATAATACGATGGTGGTCACGGTCACGATCGGGATTTTCGGTTTTGTCGGACTTTTCTACCCCGTCCCTTCCCGGTCGAAGGCATCATGAATTTTTCCAGATATGTGGGAGTGCTGGTCTTCTGAAGGTACGCCTTATTGCCTTCACACTCACGCCTCAGAGCATATTTAGACTTCACCTCCAGACAGCCCTGTAATACGATTTATCGCAGTACGGGTTGTCGCTGTTGTTCGTCAGACTGAATCTCACTGACCCTTCTGGCATGGTTGAGTCTGTAGAAACTGAGTTTCACCCGATTCAGCTCGTAAGATTACTGCAGCACTGAAGCTTGACCACTAGGACAAGGTGATAGCTTCAGGTCGAGATGTATCAAGTTGATACCGTGGTAGTTCTTACAGACCGTTTTGTCGCCTTTTTCTGTCGGTAGTATTATGTAGGTACCCGAATCCATTTAAGCTTGTAAAAAGGTTGAAATACCACGGGTAAACGGGCTTTGTAGAGTTCCTCCGGGATACTATCTTCATCTTTTACTAGGCTGATTATCTAGGCCAATGAACTTTGACTAGGGTGTACAGTGTGGACTTAGTTGTCTGTGCTGGATAGTTGGTGGCTAGATGGACGATTCAGTGGTGAGGTGGAGCTTCCAGTCCATCTGTTCAGCTTCTTGTAATAATCCGTTACTAGTTGATCCTCAGTGCCTGGAAGTTGTCCTGCAGTTGTCCTGAAAGATACGAACAATCGCTGGTATTTTCAACTGTTTGAGTGCCGATGAGTAATCCGTAGGATCTTTCTGGGCTGATCAAGTGGCCTGGTGATGTACACTGCAGAAATTGGAAGCATCGGAATAATTAAACCAGAACAGGAACACGGCCGTTCAAACGAGAGTGATGTGGCCATGAACAAAATACCTATCCCGCAAAACCCTAAACTTGCAACCAAAAATCCACCCAGTGGAGTTTCAAGCGTGTGCCACGCTACCTGACTGGGAAGTCCTGACTGGCGGGTCAATCGGTCGTCACAACCAGGACAGTTACTGGGTCGTCGTTCGATGAGTCGGGCACACCAGTCACATCGCTCAAGCGTGAACACGTTCGCCTGTTCAGTTGCGTCCAACGTGCGTTGGTGGAGTAGTGGTTACACGCTCGCCTCGTATTTCATATATCCGGGGTTTAAATCCCGGCACGGCCATTGGATATGCACTGCTGATGAGCTCTAATAAGAGCGAAACTCGAGTCCAGTGCTTCCGTTTGGTGTGGACTCATCGGAATAATTACGCCAGAACAGGACACGGCCGTTCAAACGAGAATGGTGTGGCTATGAACGAAATTGGAAGCGTTGGCCGTGCATGCCTGGGCAGCTTTCTGAGAAAGATCAATGGTTTTTCGGAAATCCAATCCTTGTGGTATCAAGACCTGAATTCAAGATTCTGTGCGGCGGCATGTCTAATGGACGTCGCCAAGACTCTACGACGGAGACTGGTTGGCTGGGGCACGTGACAGCTTGGTGGTAATTTGGTTGTTGATCGCATCCGAGGGGTGATGGCAATTTCAGGAGTCTTCGGGGAGGGGGGGTCCACATTCTGTAGGTTGTGGGTTTGCGTAATGCGGTAAAGTCAAACTTAAACCTTGTACGTTTGAGTAGATGCCACATTAGGTACTGGAAACGTGTGTTGGATATCACGAGTCGATTGGATTTGCACAGTTAATCAATCGATGAACATTTTCACAGCGTTCTTACAAACCAAACTTTTTGAGGATGCCAATTCAATTCAGTTTGGGAGTCGTTCAGCTGTAGCACCCTTTTGATGCCTAACTGCCATGCCACCAGAGGGAAGCACGAGGGCTGGGATACTATTGGGTTGCCCAGGTCTAAACAGGAGAAGTCGAGAGCCGTAGGTCGGGTTCGAATCAGCTATAAACCATGTACCATAGGCACATCAGTTCCAGCTGCTATAGTTTCTATCACGGGAAAATGGGAGTGTGGGGCATACAAACGTGCCTTGGAGGTGATGGCATGTTTTGAGGATGTAACAGGTGGGATCGCTTGAATCCCCAATTCTCAAGTTCCAGTCGGCAGCAGCTATCAGTGTACGGCGGTTGGCTTAACGGTTGACCAATTTTGTCAGCTTATCGTGGAAGTCGTCCTTGGAGGAATGATCTGAAGAAGTGGGAGCGTAAACGTTTATGACGGTCAGGTCGTCATTGGAGCATTTGAAATGAGCCGTCCTGGAAGATACAGGTTTCATAGGGAGTAAGGCATCGTGAGCGCGTTTGCTGAAGGCAAAAGTCACACCATGTAGACCTGATTTATCATTTATTTAGCTATAGGACAACTTGGAGACTTCCATCGCTGATATTTAGGTGCGTTGCGAACTTAAATTAGGAATTTGTCTATGAAAGGCATGTAATATCAACCTGGTGATCAAAGAGACTTCGTGCGGTAAAACTCTGGCCACCCATATCATGCGAAGTACGGGCATTCTAGCAGCCTATCTGCAGAGGGGAGATGTGAGAGGCCAGCATGCACCTTTGTCATAATAAAAGATGAGCCAGCATCAGTAGCCTCGCCTGTCAGGGACGCCGCAGCTTCCTATCTGGAGTATATTCATGGCGTAATACGGGGATTGTTCGGGGTGCGCCTTTAACACCTCAGGCACACGGTTAACTTGGTTGTCAACCCTGAACTGAGATCCCATGTTGTCAGGGCTAGTGTGGCTTTTGGCAACCTGGGGAGGTAGATGTGAAAGAACCGAAGCCTGAGACTGGAGACAAAGCTGCACGTCTGTAAGGCGATGATTCCATCTACCCTCTTGCAAGTGTTCGGACACTGACCGTGCATCGAGATATCTGACACGAACAGGTTCCGCGTGCACCAATCGGGGCGGGCACTTGGTGTTTACTGGTCAGTGTTAGCATAGGATACAAAGGTTTCCGATGGATGCGTTGTGACAGTGGAGGTCATGATGCTACTTAACCGTCTGCAGTGGCTGGCACGTGTTTGCCGAATAGACGGTAGTGGAATGAAGCATGGATCTCGAACTTGGAGACGACCGAAATTCCGCTTCAGATATTTTAAAAACCACAATCTTGATTTTAGGTCTTGGGACAATCTAGCACCTGACAGAGCGGATTGGTGAACTGACGTCTGCACAAGCCTGAAGAACTTTGGGGCGCGTCATTCGAAACGCACAATGTGAAGCCCAACGACAGCCATCTTGATCTATGCATGTTGCAAGCACACATGCCTGGGCAGAATCGACCTCGCAGTTCACTCGGCTTACTAATTCTAAACCACCACGGAAGCCCCAGTGAATAACCTGAAAATTTTTTCACTCATTTCTAAGTTTCATCTGCCAAAGATAAGCCTGGTTCGTCTTGTAATATGTCCGGCTACACTGTAATACTACCAGCTGGCTTATCGCTTGACCCTCCGTCTCCCCCTAAATGGTACAGTAATGGACGTACTCCAGAAAGCATTGTTATTGTAATTTAACTGTGGGGGAAGCATGCTATCTCGGGAACGTGACCGATGAGGCCAGTGCCGTAGGATGAACGATCTAGCGTTGGTGCGTATTGCTGATGCGAACTATTGATGGAGGTACGATTAAGCTGATGCAACGGGTAAAAGGACAATTCCCCACATGAGACTTCTGACCATTTTTGGAGGCTGGGGGCAATATATATCTACCTAGGCCTACCACATTTGTGAGTGCGGTGATAAACAGGCCCGTTGACATGAGGTACTATGCTTTACGGCAGAGAAGCAGCATGCTGCCGCATGCTGAGGATGGTGATGATGATACTGCGCCTCCCTGGATATTTCACCTACAGCCGAAGTGCAACAAATCTCCTCTATCCAGGTGCCACGGTTTCTTTCATCGCAAAGCCAGAAGGCTTTTCCATGCGTACAGTTAATCAATGTAGCGTAGTCCGCTCCTCTGCTAATAACTTTGATGTGCGTAAAGTGACAACAAAAACTATGAATGCCTCCAGGTACCCGTCATTGAGCTGGTGTCTTGGGCATGTTTTACTCCGTTTTTCCTGGTTTCGTAATCTGACAGTACACCATCTACGGAAGCGCATCAGTGCAGTGTTACATCTTCGTTGGTCAATACTGTCCCGTGGCTTGGGTCGTCTTATTTTCTACCTACAGCGCACACGTTTAATCCAATAGATTTTTTGGGGCCTGGAGAAGTACACAACTTAACCCATAAAGTTTCACCAGTTTGTACTCTGCCGCGATTTTTGGACACTACGCACCAACGTTGTAGCAGGCGACAATGTTTTGGGTTTTATCCTTTCCTTTATTATGTATTTCGATCAACCAACAAACTATATAACCATTGAAGCCAGATTGCCGTTACTTCCAGGCATTGAAGCTGAGAAATTGTTGAACGGATTATGTGTGCGACTGACTGATTGGTTTCGTGGATATTTTTCAAAACACTAGTGTGTATCATATAATGGATTATTCTAAAATCACCGGATATTCATGGTGAATGGATCCAGGTTATATTCGTATTTTCATTTTTCATTTCCAGCACTGGCCGTTGGCGTTCTGAATGGACGATCAAGATACCAGATGAACCGATCGGGGGCACATTCTCCGTTCATGGTGTCATTAAGGTCCAGGTGAGTAAACTTTAGGCGGCAAATTTTTTTTACCATCTTATTATGAATGACCGTCTGACTAGAGATTCTCTGAGCTTGGTTGGGATGGCCTCAACACTCTGGGAAGCTTATATTGGTATCGTCCAGTTCGTTTGTTCGTCTGTATTTCGAGATCGTGCTGAGGTTGTAGTCTGCGATTCTGGATAGCAAGTCGTTGCAGTTGCCTTTTCTGTATAAAACAACTGAACGGACGGACCCCTTAGTGACCTCTTCTCCAGCCAGAGAGACCTGCAAAATTACAGCGCAGTTAATTCTCAAAGGTTTCGTGCGGGCGAGTTGGACCAAGTGGTTGGAGCGCGAATTTACTGACCGGAAGGTCCGTGGTTCGAACCCGGCCTCTGCCTATGGACTTCCCTGTTTAGGCCTGGGCAACCTGGTAGTATCCCATCCCTCGTGCCTCCGTGTGGCACAGCAGCCAGGCACCGAAGGGGTGCTACAGCTGAACGATTTTTTCGTGGCACACATGCGGGAAGCCGATGCTACTACTAAATACCCAGATTTTATAGTTGTCTTCGCCCGGTGGTGCATTCGGTCTTTCATCTTTCACGTTTCACTAACATGACTTCAGCTTCAGCACGCACACGACACTGAGAAATTTTAATCAATAGAAATGATCTGATTCAGTCCGTTTGACCAATACTTGTCTACCTGGGAACGGTGAAGCGGATATTCCTAACTTTTCACGATCTTGGTGGTGAATCTTATGGAAACCAATCCAGCAGTACCCACATTCTGATGCACGAATTGTGGAGACAATCCTTAGGAGCGGTCCACTATTTGTCCTGCAGTGATTTAGACTCATTAGGTTGATGTTGTCTCTGCAACTGACACCTCCAGATTCAGTTTCTCTTGGCTTGGTGCCCATTAAATACTCTGCGAGGTTTTTGAGGAGCTGGAAATAGTTACATGATTGCTTCCAAATGGTTGAACTTTCTGAAAAAATCCTTCACATTAGCTGAAACCAGAAATCACTCCACTTCTGATGTCATGTGCGGAATTGTGGTGGAAAACTGTTAACCAGAGTTGCGCGGACCGCCCTGCTACGCTCTGATCACAGCAAATTCATCATCTTCATTGACAGCAAACACCAGTAATACACACTGGCACCTTACTGCCATACAACCATGAGAAAAGAGCATAGAGCAGAGAGAAGTGGGAAGGGTAGGGAATCAGTGCAAAGAAGCCTTATGTTTTTCAGAAAAAATTATCAAGAATAGAATGCTTACACCTTTCGACAGCATTAAACTAAACGCATCCTAACATCGTGTTGAAGTAAGATGCCATCAGCGGAGTTAACCCAGCGTCCTTTGTGAACCTAACCCCCAAAAGCCCAGCTCACAGCGACAGGCGAAATTCAACTAGGCAGTCGGGCTTGGAAAAGACAGTATGTGTGTCATGTCCTGCCTAGTTTCCAACCACCTGTGAACTCCAGCCAATAAGGCTGACTGTAACTACCGTCAGTTCACGTCATGACATGGCGTGTTCACCACAAACCTTATGCCAACAACCGCTTGAAACAAAAAACAACGCTTTCTTCGGTAGACGATGGCTGGACATACATAATACGTGTCCCAGCCACCTCAACCTGGTATGTTTAATCTGCTGTTTGCGCGATTCTGATTCGTTAACCAAGTACTCGTGTACGCACCATTTTGTTAAGTGTTAGCTGCAGCCAGACGAGCCAGCAAGATGGAGTACAAAGTGGCTCATTTTTCAAAGTCTACACTTACTCTGTGTTTGTTTATGCTTTCCTCTATGGAACACTGCTGCCAGTTAGCTTATTTTTTTAACACTCAGTTATTATCTGCAGTCGCACACTTCCACCTTTAACGTTCTCACTGTGAGCTCTACTGGCATCTTTGTTTGCTTCGGCTTCTAGACCCATCTTTACGAAGAAGGTAACGTGCAGCTGATATCCTCCAAGGAGGTAGACTTCTCTGTAACTGCACCAAATGCCAAGGCCTTTGCAAATGAATGCGTTCGCCATATAAAAAACGCGGAGATAGCCTATCAGGTAAGCATTCTTGCTGAATTTTTCCCTACTTTTGTCAGATTTCTGATGCAGACTCATATTGCACCCCCATCGGTCCATACTGTCCTTTTTTGGCCGGCATGGTTTCTCCGAGATCTGTCTTGACTGTTCCACAAACCAAGGGGGCATGGTTTCTCCGAGATCTGTTTGTGTGTGTGTATGTGTGAAAATGATTTTCGGATCATCAGACCGCAGTCTTGACTGTTCCACTAAACCAAGGGTCCCGTAGGCTGCTGTTTCTTTGGTCCAGTTTCCTTTGAAATTATGAGCTTTATGGCCGGTAGCAGTCTGCGGAGAACAAGTTATTGAACAGTGTTGCTGAGTCTTACCAGCGCGAGAAAGTATTTTCCGTGGTACGACGAAGTAGCTCCCACCGCAGCTACTTTGACCGTCTTCTAAAGCAGGTCGGATTGTCCATACACGACCTTTGATTTGCTTTGTCCTACGGAATTTTCATCGACTATTCGTGTGTCGCATAGTTCGTTCCGTCCCGTTTGTTTTCTTTATCTATGAGTGCCTTGCTTCAGGCTGCCACAATCTTCGACCGCCAACTAAAAACTATGAAATTTGAGAGGAGAGTCTCCGATTTAGGCAAACTATATGTGACAACGTCACTATCGAGTTGAGTCTTGTCCTCATCATACTTTGCCTGTATGTTGCTTTTCTTCACCCCAATCCCAGTGGGGCAAATAAGACCCGCTTAATTAAATGGTCTTCAGGCATGCGTAACACACGACCTATCCAGTGTAACTAGCTTAGTTACGTCAAATTATCAACCGAACTCGCACTAGACATTGATAGCTGAAGGCACGGAGTCATTGCATCCTCCGCACAAAGTGACCAAGTTTCACATATATACAGCAGCATTGGCCGCGCTGCGGCGCTGTACACTCGTCGGCAATAGGCTAGTATCGCACAGGCCCTATAAGTAGCCAAGTTGAAGGAAGACCGTACGGACGCTTCCTGTTCCAGCCCTCACTGTTATCCAAATTATCAACTATGTACTCGGGTGTGTAGTTCGTAACTAATTTAAGTGAGCTGCAACAACCAGATTGGATGACATATTCGTCCATCCTTGGAGTAGGACTTCGCAGATTGATAGTGCTGAGCACATTCCGCAATTAGCAATTAGATGAACTAAATTGTTTCATTTATGTTGCATTTTGACAGGATCCGAAACGAACAGCGCTATGTAATCGGTGTAATCAGGCTGAGATCTTATTCGGAATGCAGTTCATCTCATGGGGCAGTGAGCAGCTTAAACGATTCCTCCATAATCAACCTGTTTACGAAGTTGAAGAGAGGAGATGAGGTAGCCCTATCAGCAGTGCACTCAGGAGAAAAATTTCTATAGAACTTTAGAAGTAGACAACCTAGCATGGTCGGGGGGGGGGGGGGGGGCTGAAAGGGAGATTTCGGGAATGCCTTCGTTAGTTATGCAGTCTTGCAAAACATCGATCTGTTAAGCCACACGTTGGGCAAACGATGATTGTTAGCTGTTTGCAAGTATGGCTATTTTCAAGGTGTCGAGAGGTGAAGGCATAGTCAATGCTCCCGCGACCTGCAGGGAACCTTGCCTGACTATCAGTGCTTTCCTGTTCACGGGTCCTGCTGGGTCTCCGTAGCATGATGTCTGTTAGAGCATCTGAAGCATTCGTAATCACACTGGTATCAGAAAAACCACCCTTTTCACTGGACCAACACGTAACTGACTCCAGCCCATTTGGCTCGGCCCTCAGAGCCAATCCTTTTCCCGAAGTTACGGATCCAGTTTACCGACTTCCCTTACCTACATTGTTCAAATGCCAGGAGCTGTTCACGTTGAAGACCTGATGCAGATATGGGTACGGTCTGCCACGAAAATTATATTGCCTCGCTTGGATTTTCAAGGGCCAACAAGAGCGTTCCGGACACCACAAGAAATAAGCTGCTTTACGGGGCTAGCCTGCACTCTGTTCTAGTGCCTTTTTGAAAGCCATCATTCCTCTACCAGCCGCTACTCTAGCCTTTCCCATTCACCAAGATTTTCACACTTACGATTTTCCGCCTCTAAATTTCTGGGTTTGTTACCTCTTGATGGATCTTCGGGCCACGTCGGACTGTCGGTAAGCGGAGCAGAGCAGTTGGATATCCGTTGGCAGTTCCGTCGTGACTGGGTTTTCGATCAGATGGACTGAAAGTCTGTAGCCAAGGTTTTCCCAATCTTCATTCGGTTTTTCTGTCAGAACCATTGTTGAGCATAGTTTGGAAAATGTGGTTTGATACTCTTCTTTTATCGACGATCCTTGCGAACAAAGTGCCCTGAGTTGAGGGAAAGTCCCTTGCTTCTCTGTCCGTAAGCCGACGATCAAGCGTCCATCGCAACTTGACCGAAGTCCATGCAAATGTTCCCTTCGTGGTTAAGTGTTTAGCCACTGATCAGAAGGTTGCGGGTTGGAAACTGTCTGAGTTTCGTGGGGTGCGCACTGGTGATGATTTCCAAGGATGAAACAGCTGTTTTCGGTTTTTCAACACTGATTAACTTTGCGGACGAAATATCTATTAGAAAACATACCAGTTTATCTACGTTAAATGGTCCCATGGCTTCAGCAACAGCCAGCCTGATTGCGGCTTGTTAATGATGGTATCTTCATTCAATTCCACCGCTAACCCTATGGTAACTGGTGATAGAGTGCTTTTACGGTATTCAGGTCATCTGACCAGCTATCGATTTCGTCGCTGTTTTTGTTTCCGGCATGGGTTCTGCGCATATGATTTTTTGTGTGATAGCGCAGTTGCAAATATGGTACGCAATCTAGATGCAACTCTACTGATAGTACAGTAAAGCCAGGGTTGGGATGCTCCACTCTCATGGACTCTTGCGGGACAGGATTCATGCTTTGGTTTCACTCTGTGCATCTTAACGGCATTCTTTCACTTCGCCGTTTTGCTTAAAATCATCAACTCATTGCTGCCAAATTTTCTTCTGTATGCTGATTCGAACCCGACATCTGTATCTCAACTTCCCCTGTCTAGGCTTGGGCAACCTGGCAGCATCCCAGCCCTCGTGCTTCCTTCTTGTGGCATGGCGGCTAGGCACCGAAAGGGTGCCACAGCTGAACAATTTTTTTCAGGGAACTATGCGGTTGTGTCCGAGCGCCTTAATGAGTAATCAGAACGACACTAAATATAATCAGTCTTGTGTAGCACCTGATGTCGATACGCAACTCCAAAATGAGCCAACCTGAACCCTATCCATTTATCCCAACTGCATGTGTTGCAGTTGATCAATCATGATCCCCTTTGTGCATGCGTCAAGCCCCAACTTTGAACTTTCATTGGCGGGTTGTAACGAGTCACATAGGTTGCTCCAATCCGATTCCGAATGCTTTCCACCTTGAGGCCTGCTTCGGTTTGGTCTACTTGAGTTGAACGCAGCACGAAAATTCCGCTGTAACTATGTACATCTGATTATTTTTGGTAATACTGCTTTGTGGAGGTTTAAAGCTGTGTACAACCAAACTGTCCTTCGGTGTCGTCTTGGTTTGTGCTATTTTTATGGTTCCACTCGAGACGACAAGAGCCTTCTTTCACGTTTCAGTGACTTACAGATGTCCCCGACGATGTGCACGCCCTGAATACTGTTAAACTGTCTCATCCAACAGCCCTTTGTGGATTTTACCAATCTTACTGAACGTCGACACCGTTTTACATTTTTATTCGGTACAACAGCCTGGCATCTTTTTCCGGATTGACTTGTCACACCTAACGACTTCAATGAATGCCTGCACAATGAGTAATGTTATATACGTTTTGCGGTGAGCCACATATGTACCCACCTGAACGCTCTGTACTCGGTGTAAACCCGATAGAATAAGGCCGATAAGTGGGCGGGATGGGACACTTCTAAAGCCACCAGCTTGCCTAACTGGTGACCCATAGCTGTCGGTTCAAGTGGGCACAACTGAACAGTTGAGGCCGATAGTGTACGCAAAGAGCCATCTGGTAACCGGCACAACACAGACGTATCGTAGGCACACACGTAGCCAAATGGCACCAGCCTTCATCTAAACCTGTCCAACGGTGTTCACAGAGAGTTACTGTTGTGAACTTAGCCCTTCAGGATATCCAGGGCAATAAGGAGGGACCTTGCTGGTACAAATGGGAACAGCCAGGCAGTCTAACTCAATGGTTTCCCCTTGGAATATGTTGGAGGTTGTACTGCAACTACACCGAGTGCAGACTGCTCCTGTATGGCGTTCCGTAGTTAGCCATAGTTTGACTTGATTCCATCCACATGGTGGTTACTTCACTTCTTACACCATCGCGAGGGGGGTTAAGAATTTAAGGTGGACAACTTTGCTCTATAGGCACTGCCATAGTACAGTTTCTAAATCAAGGAAGTCCACCATTGTCGGTTTCCGGAATCAGTGTTGGCGTACCCCTTTTGAAATTAGGGATGACTGTCGGTGCTCCCCATTCCGCCGACATTTCCTCTTCACTCTATTCTCACCAATGAACTTTGTCAGAGAGGTCACCACGGTTGCTCCTCCTTTTGACAATAGCTAGATACAGACCGCTCGGTCCTGGTGACCAAGAGGTCATTAGGTTAAGAGTATTTCTTATTTTACTGCTGATGGGCGAATAAAGTTCACATTCTATTCGCTCGTTTGCAGAGGCTGTATTGTAGGAGGCCGGCTAGACTTTTCCTCGGCCCATCTTTCCAGCCGGCGTTTTTGCGAGTGAATTAATCATTTCTTTGACCATTGCTTCCGACCAGTCAACCACATTAACTGGTATAGATAGCAAAAGCCCTTCCAATCTGAACCTTTCTTAGGCTCTTCACTATTTGGTGTTCAAGGTAGTCGTTTGATCGTATCGGAGGTAGACAGTACTGAACACTGCTATCATAGCTTCTTTCCTATTTCACTCTGCTCTATCTGCATAATCGTTACCAATAGTGTTGGTTTGCTGTAGAGAGTAGTTAAGCTAGTTCGAATCGATACTACTGAGCTATGGTAGTTCTCCGAAGATGGTGAATCGGTACGCTTGCTGACTTGCGAGGACCTGAAAGAAATTGGCAGCGTACCCGCACTGTGGCGTGATCAGAATCAAGTTGTGTGCTCCATAAAAAAACGGCAGTCTTCAATTGCGGCTCTCCACCGGTGACTGATGGACACGCGATCCAGCTTAGTCTACGGTTGGCCGCCAGGTTACGTGATCGGACGTTTTGTTGAAACAGTGGCCAGAAACAGTTGATGATGAGCACACAACTGAAGGTGTTGCTCTCGGTTTCCTGTGCGACGATCATCGACTCTGAATCGACCGACCAGATGTGATTCCAAGACCTCAAAACAGCTTAGTCTACGGTTGGCCGCCAGGTTACGTGATCGGACGTTTTGTTGAAACAGTGGCCAGAAACAGTTGATGATGAGCACACAACTGAAGGTGTTGCTCTCGGTTTCCTGTGCGACGATCATCGACTCTGAATCGACCGACCAGATGTGATTCCAAGGACCTCAAAAGACTGACTTGGGCATTCTTAACGCCTACAAGAATGACTGTCAATGCTTCTTGCCTAATGAAAGATGCTGGATAAATCTCAATGGAAAGTATGTCCAGCCTCCAAACCGCAGTCCACTGTCCCACTCAACCCCTTACTGACGATCTCACCTCAATTGGTGATCGAACTGCCATGGCCGACCAAACCAACGTGGCGTTGGGGTCACACTGCAGTAACAGACCGTAATCGTTAAACGCAGTTAGTTTTCATCTGGATGCATCTTCTGGAAGAAACGCGTGCTTCATTAGGAAATCTCCCTGACTCTTGTATGACATGCTTCTTGAACGCCCTCAAAATCCGAGGAACCTCGGGTGCCGGTCGGGAATTCATCGAAGAAGTTTTAAAAACAATAAATCCACTGGTTTTCTTCCAAGCTTTTGTGAAACTGCCAAATACACATTTTTTTCAAGCTTCGGTGGTTGGCGCCAGAAGGTCAAACAAGTAACCTCACCAAAGTGCAATAAGGTCTCAGCTTTTGTACTCGCTTGTCATTTAGTCGGTGCATCACTGTCGACCACCTTCATCTGACAGAACTTGAAAGTCTTGTCTATAATTTAAAGTGAAAGTAACAGGTTGACTCTTCCTGCCTTGCTTTATTCCTAAACACTGGACACTTCTACAAATCATCGGCCTATTCCTAAACACTGGACACTTCTACAAATACTTCAAACAAATCTACTTGATTGCTACAGCCATATCTTATAGCCTCACCCTAGAATAGCGGGATTGTTTTGATCTGGTATTCGTGCCCTCCGCCGAGAAACACACTGGCTATTCCACCTCACTGATGCAGATCAAGGTGAATTACATGTTTGTAAAGGGGAGTTCACTGAAATCTAATCGTCCACTTTACCGCTTACTAACTATACTCTTGCAAGGGAAGCTGGGCGAGCATGCGTAGACCGCAATTTGATGTTTTCGAGAGCAACAGGATCCGGAGACAGATGTGACATCCAGCGAACGGAAATTGCACACCACGGATTGCACCGTCGCTGGAAATCCTGTTGCTTGTCTGTTTAGCTCATTTTGCTAATCGCTTGACTAGACATTCATTCTTGTGACAGTTACATCCAAGACACTTACAGATGTTGTGTGAAAATGAAGTATTATCGTCCATATAATCGGGCACGACGACCGTATCGATCGTCCTTCTGAACAATGATACGAACGGAACCCGAATGTTTGCGGAAATTTTTCTCCTACTGATTGAACGAATGCTCATCCACGATGGTAATGAAAAAATGATACTCATTCAGCCTTGGTCTCATTTCGGTGCGCAGCTGCCGCTGGGTTGTTTCGTGTTGCCACTCCACTATCCGCACTGTAGAGCCGATGAAGAACTTTAGCGTGTGGGTGCTTCACTAATTTTACGTGTGCTCGTGGCGCTCAGTTACAGCGCAAATCATGAGCACCTGACACGAAAAGGACTTATGGATAGTGGTACAAGTCAATCACATTGCATATTCGCACCCGACTTCAGTGGTTCTTCATGATTATGCAAGGTATTATGAGACAATACTGGCGTCATGCCACTTAACTGTGTTCAGTTATCAGCACTGGCAAGCGTATTTAGGTATTAACACACACACACACACACACACACCGCTCCCTACTTATGTGAACAAAAGCTAATCGTTTCTTGCTCTGAACAGAGCGACGGACAACCATAAAGCATTCACGAATGTCACTGGATTTGAGTCTCAGTACTGAGCGGATACATCGTTCGTCCGTCTGCATTCAGATACCTCACAAGAGGATCGAAATTCTCCTACCATTCTCTCTCACAATACCGAAAGTTCACGTCTACTCATCTTTGGCTAACTTTAATCACTGACTTTAGAAGAGGTAGTTCTTTTCTTTTTCAGTGTTAACAATCGGTAGTCTTTAACCACCGCTGTAGTGCTCTTGATTGTACACCACTTTACCTCATCAAGCATTAATTTTGGTTGCCTTTTTGTGAGGTCCTCTCTTAGCTTACCGGCGAGGACACTGGGTTCGACTACCTTCGTTTGGTTCTTGATGTGTCGATTGTCGTTCTTTCTTCTGTGCATATGTACGTACGTTAAGTTAAGGCATACTTTCAATTCTATCTTCGTACTACAGACTGCCGTCGGTGACAATTTCAAAACAATGTCCGACACGACTTTCAAAGCATTGCGCCGTCAGCTGCCAGTAACCCGCTCGAAAATTGATTGGAACAAAATCATTACCTATCAGATTGGTGGCGAATTATCGCGTGCCTCATGAGCTCTATCTATCTATCACACCCTATGATGGGTATTTTCCATCTGCATTCCTGAGCACACGCACCGACTGACTGCTTGGTATCGCCTTTCCACCCCGTCCAGCATGGCCTGGAAACCGTCTGTGTCCTATTTTCAAAGGCCCGCAAATTTTCTTGCTCCTGATGTTTTCTCGTAAACTTTCCCGTCATATGCTGCCAACGAGTGAATCAGTTTCCACAAACCCAAACTCATTTGGCTGCTTGCCTGCGAGATATATGTGACTGTGCGTAATAACCGCTTTTTGGTCTACTACTTGGTCTATACCATCAATCAACCGTCTTTTATCTGTAGTTTATATAATCTGACTTCGGTTTTGACTTGTATACCGTCTCCCTATGTCGTCACCATCTTCCCATTGGTCATGTTTGTTGATTTCCCTATTCATACTTTCTTATTCTCGATACGCTCAGTTACATGCATACGCTGGGCGTTTTCCCTTGTATGACTTCTCTACCACCTTGCACCCTGATAATCGCACTCTTCATTTGATAATAAGGCGCTGGCGCAACCAAGCAAATGTTCGTCAGTTTCTGCTGGCCTAGGAGGATGATAAATCTATCCTTCTTCCGAAATACACAGGTGGCGGAGGTTCGTGCACAAATTTAATCTAATTCCTGGGGTTTTTCAGGAGGGTTGGGTTGACTCCACCGGGTAAGTTCAACATCGCAACTAAATGGGAGACTCGAACAAGTTAACACAATCATGGGGGGTTTCTGCGATTGGAATTTGCCATGGAAGTGTCATAGTCTCGTTTATTGGCACGACGGTTGGCCATTAAATCCCAGCGGTAGCTGACCACACTCGGGTGGTTGATGTGTTTGCGGTCCTGATGGACATAAGCATGCTGTTGGCTGCAGACCTTGCGCCCGCTACCCAACACTATGCATTCGAGCCCCATGGCCCGGCGCTTGGCAGTTACACCATCGAGGTTTGTGATCCGCTATGATGAACGGTTCAACTGTTCATGCATGCTGTAGTGAGCAGTTAGTCACGGGAAGGCACCACCAGCTCACTCATAGATCTGGATCTTATTGGAGTAGCGTGCAATATTCCGGTAATCAAGGTTGATACCGTTTGGCAACCATCGGGCTGTTGTTAGCGTGGCGTCCATCGTGATCAGCTGATATCGTTACATAATTCACCCTTCAGGGTACCCATTTTTCTACAGTGGGCCTTTCACTATCTTGCTTTTTGCTGAATCAAACCTCCTTATCCTTCGAACACGTTACTGAAATACCTTCACAGTCTCTAGGACGAGTTCCTACGAACACCGCATATTTTTGGGACCTACGATTCCTTCGACAGCGCAGCCCTACTTTATTTCAGTTTGCACTCAAGCGGGAGCACCTATATAGTGTCCAAATTTTTCATACGCCTTTCCACATAGACACTACTGCTAAATTGACTGTGCAAAATGCTCTGTAGCTCTACTGTTTTCCCCTGAATTCTAAACACGATTGGTTTCACCGCCGGAGATTATGTCTGTTACCTGCTGGTCCTATCCGTCCACCGGTTCCAACAGGAGAACCATCCAGCAGACCGGACATTTGCGCTGTTTATTCATGGATATCCCACTGATACGGGACCGAGACGAATGTATGGAGCACTGTTTTCTAGCTGCTACTTGCAGCCTCAGGATGTACAGCTGGACCTTCATTTGTAATGGTGAATGGAGTTCTTTGTCAAAGCGTAGGGTTGACGGAGCTTACTGGCCGGAAGGTCCGCGGTTCACCCAACCTCAGCACCTCGACTGTTCCTGCATAGGCTTGTAAACTTGGCAGTATTTTATCCCTCATGCTTCTCTCGGGTGGCATAGCAGCTAGGTACCGACAGGGTGTTACATTAATCTTGCTGTGAGCTACTTTGCGCACGCAACCCGCCCTTCAACCTATTTGAGAACAAAGCAACATCACAGAGCTTTTCGCCGTTTTCCCACGGCTATCCAAAGAAAATCTTCCAAGTGACTTCTGTCAGTGATACAACACCATTGACAAGACTGACCAAAGCTCCTCGATAACCCACTGTGGTTGTACCCTCTTGTGGCTTGCTGGGTTGGTGGAGTCCCCGAACTCCTATCAATCTTGTTTCAGACCTGAACACTTGATTGAACATTTGTGGAATTAACACTCATTTACAAACTAAGATGACGCCAACGTGAGATTTCACTGTGGTAAAAAAGACCTCGTTAAGCCTCATTTGAATCCTGATTTATAACTTTATCTAACAGCCTTAGCTAAAATAAACCCGTTTCTGACAATACCTTATTAGAATTGTACAGCAGCAGTGGAAAATGAGGTGAAATGGATGGAAACGTTTGAACAGAAGCAGATACATTGGAGAGGTGTGGAACTGACCAGTTAGGAGTCTAGTTGATAATTTACGACACTGACTCGTTCGATCGATCGATTGCAGTTGTTCTCTAACTGAGTTAGTCTCTTGTTCATTCTGCAACAATAACAGACTGAGGGGAGGTTATATTGAGTCCTGTGCACTGTCCCACGTATGCGTGGCAGTATGGAGTCGTCAGTTTTTATCTACTGTTAGTATAGCGAATCGAAATTGGCTAACGTGAGATCTCTTTGGGGTCAGAGAGGTGTGCAATCCTGTTGTGCCGCGCTCTTCGGTTCGTCAGCACCAGTTGAACCTTGTGTACGTGAAATTCATGTTTTCATGTGGCCCACCTGAGACATTGTTCCGAAGAACAACCCTATGTGATCAGTTCGGATGTTTGATTCACAAAACCCACATATTGAACTCCGTCACGGCGGAAACTCGCAACATGCCTAAGACTGACTATGAAGTTCGTATTATTAAGCCAAAAGCATCAGCTTGTCCGTCAAAGATGTACTATGTAACATTGAATCTTCGCACTGATGTATCAGTCAAACGGCTAAGTGAAAACAGAAGATATGCGAAGTCTCGGTGTCTGTTGATTGGTATCCAAATGCCGGGTGGTTTCCGTGGAAAATAAATTGTGCACTATAGACTAGCAAGGCAACGTTGGCTAGGAAGAACACTTGACATGACAAGGCTCCGCCGACCCTGGCTGCAGTCGGCGCTTAGTCGTGTGAAAGATGAATGTGGTCGCGACTTGACGACAAAGCTTGAATGTCCCAACCGACAAACCTGACCATTCCGAGGGATTTCCCCTCTTGTGGGGCGCTTCGGGATGGGCACATCAACCAAGAGGCACACTGGAGAGTGCGGCCCAACTACCTCCAACTGTAATCCTAGTTTTTACCAGTGAATAACTGCCTACGAGTTCTGTTGGTCCAACTTCGCACCACTTCCTTGCAATTTTTATGCTGTCCTATCATTTCCCATGCGTGACCTTGGCACCTTGGTATCTGCTTATTGGATGCCACGCTCAGACGGGCAAACACCAGAAATCAGTGCCTCTCTGCTGGTCAGCTTATCATGAGATATTGTGGTTTGAATTCTGTCCGTAAAAAACAGCTGTAAAACTCACCGGCACCAGAATTATTTTTTTGCCAACACCTTATCCGTGTCGTTTCAGAATAGGTCGTCTGTGGAGTCTCTCTCGGACAGAGCGTGCTGCAGTAGTTGAACTTAATATTCCGACTGTCAAGATGGGAGCAGCTGGACTAAAGGGGTCATAGTTTTTAGCAGATGCGGATACCTGTTGTGGCCCCATTACACTCTTATGTTTCAATCCCTCAATTCCAACTCCAGTGGGAAGTTCAGGTACTAAACTTCAAGTAGAACATAAAGTTGACGGAAACTCGTGAACTGCGCCTATCTGATGAGCCCCAAGAAGGGCGAAACCGGTCGTGGGCTGTCGAAGATTGGTGAAGCAATCTTGTGAGTAGTTTCCTTGATGAAAATACTAAACTTCAATTTCACGTCAGAAACACGTACATTAACCCGTACTCATGATTAGTCGTCCTCTTCTAGGAGACATCTTTGGCGCATGGGATGCTTTCTATTGCAGTTGCCTTGAAGCTAACCTAACCGGACAGGGTACACTTTTCTCTAAGTAGCTAGTTCACTTCCCAGGAAATAAACTAGTAGAAATCATCGTTATCTCTGACAGCGGAGAACATTGGTGCTGCATGCATTCTTCAGGTAAAGTGTCGTCTGTTCCACAATAAACACTATCTCCTGATCAATCCGAATTCGTGGTTTCGAACCGATCGTGGATCTCAGATCGTCCACCCGAACTGGCCAATTCTCATTTGGGACCCACCGAGATGTTTTTCTGATGACACAAGTGGCGCAAGTTGGCAAACGCAACTCTGGTCTTCGAGATTCGTGCGTTGACTATGCCTGTTACGCTACCGTCAGAACCAATGCAATTTCCGGGATACCTATGGATTTTCCAATGTCACTCCTTGAATTCTTATTGCATGTTTGAGGACTGTACAGCCTGCAGTATGAGTGTGAAATTTTGTGGGTGCGCGGTGCATGCCCAAGGACTGGATGACCATTGGTCAGCTTGTCCAATCACAGGCTTCTCGCTGTGAGAGATCTGAACACCGGGGTGTTGGAATACTTTTAAATTTAACGAAAATGGAGACAGTGGACTGTCTTGTCGGACATCATTATTCGTAGGGAAGCTTTTTGAGAACTTCTGATACACTCTCACACGTCCACATATATATGAATGCAAATAGCGCATGATAATCATGAACTTTTGAGGAATACCCTGTCGCGCAAGCATGTTGATGAGAACTAACTTCGAATCAGTACTGATGATTGAAACCGGAAAAAAATGCGGAATCCCCAAAGTGAAATTTTATCTCGCCTATCCACACCATCGACAGGCACTGTTAGACTGACCAGAGCCAGGTCTGATATCCCAATATGTACACCAAGCCTGCCAACGCGAATCGACCGATACAGCTAGGAATCGTTGATCAAACTGACGATACCCATCCCCCAAAAGCGTGTTGATTTCCCAATGCCTTTTCCACAGGATCTAAGAAGACTAAGTTGAGAATCGGTCATCAGTGATTTATTTATTCGTTGTCAAAAATCTCGAGTTAAGAATGGGTGAGAGAATATGGATCGCAACGTGCAGAAATGAGAAAAAACAGCAATGGGCGATGTTGTGGGATTGGGTCAAGAAACCAGTTACTTTTTTTACACATTCTCAGTGGAAAACTGCCTTATTCGCTTGGAAAGGGAAAAAAGGAAGTAGGTGCTCAATCACACCAAGAGGTGATATGGGCACTGATATCAGAACTCTAAGATGTTGGGATATAGAAGCACTTATGAACATGGGGGGGGGATCGCTGACATAGGCGCAAACACAAACTACAAGTAGAACCAGCTACTTTTTTCTCGCTGCACAGACCACGTTGGAACCTATCCTAATGTCGATTGTAGATAGGATCGCCGGAAATCGGAACAACATAATGGATATCCGACAAAGATCACAAATGCCTTGGTTGGCATCATTTTGGGCGGCGTTCTCGAGATGAACACAGTTTTGCTTGACTGTCCAGTTAGATTTACACTTCCGTGGTTCTTTTTTAGTTCGGAGAATTGACGGCTATCAGAATAATGACGTTTTAATGTACGTCCCAAATCAACACATGATTGAGAGCATCGTTGTCACCCAAAGAATCGGAGATCGTTGGTTCCGCAAGGACAGGCGGTGTTAGTTCACTGGTCACGTATTCCTCATATCCGTCGCCTCCGCTGATGATTTTCATTTGTGTTGCAATGGTAGCACACGGATTAACCGATGCACGTCGCACTCCAAGCAAATAGTGACGTGGATTGGGTGGAGCCAGTGTGTTAGCATCCGGCTTCGGCTGGGTATCGAGTTCCTTTTTTCGAATGACTGTGGGTATTCTGGATGGTATTTCGAGGTTCTCACCAACACCTCTGTGTTGTGATGTTAAGTCTTGTGGTCGTGGTGCGCATAGACTCGGCACCTTGATCGTATGTTCCTCATCACTGTTATCCACTTTCTCGGTCTCCGGTATCTCTTCAAAAGACGAGTGGTCGAGGGATTTGGGCTGGAAAGTCACTCGGGCTCTCTCGGGTAGCTTAGGAAATTCACCTTCTGTTACACTTTCCAAACTAACTAGAAAGCGCACTTGTCCGATATGACCTTGCCGAAGGACTGTGAAGAAATACAACAGGAAACAGGAAGGATGGAGCGGATTAATAAAATACAGCCATAAACTGGAATAAGAAGCTATGTGATGTGGACTTGCAAAGCCTAGTTTACACCATACGCATGTTCTAACCTCCTCCTCATCATCATCATCAAAGATAGCAACTGATGCTTCACTGCCGTACAACCATAAGGTTCGTCTAGTTATATATATATATATAATTATATAAAAACCCTAGAGTGAAAAGCAGATAAAAGGAGTGGGTGTGGGGATATGGTGCTGACCTATGTCAAGCATTCTGAGGTGCCTACACCTCCAACCGCTCCATCAGACAATCTGAAAAGAAAGTGACAGCACGAACGCCACTGACATCGATTAGGCACCATTTCTTGCAACGTCTCCAGCCAAGCTTACGTAAGATCGGGTCCACGTAAGACTACCGAAAATTAGACAGAAAAGTTGATTCTTGTAAACACATACAGCTAAACCAAATAATATGAAGATTTTTCAGTCTCATAGTTTGAACATCTGCTGGAGTAAAACGCCTGGAATGAGTTGGCGGAGCATCCGTCAACACGTTCCTTTCGCACACGCAGGTGCCCAGAGCTGAATTCCCGCATTGTCGACAATACACGATACTGCTGAGACATACTTTAAGCCAAAGCCCTCTGTGGTCCACATGTGGCTAGTTGGTCACTTAACCAGTTAGTGAGTAATTCAGTAGTATGTAGAAGTGGATATTATCACGTTGACTCAATCGCTTCCCATTCCTCCAGCACTGAGCACTTCCGTAAGGCATGGTGCCGCATGGTAGAGGTCCACAAGCGACCACCTTTTATGTATGCAGCCACTGTTCTAATCTGCCTATGGCTGTCCTGATCAATCTCACTGATGGGACAGATGATATGTCAACAATAGGACAAAACTGAAACCTGCCTACATGCAGGGACAATCTACTTGGCCTTGTTCCGCCCTCATTCCATACATGGCTGCAAACGCCAGATACGAACCATGGTCACCAAAACTTGTACCTGGTGCTGTTCTGATGGGTATGTTTATACGGATGGAGGAAAATGAACAGATTGAATGTGAAACTAAGCGGAAGAAATAGTCAATTTTCGATAGTGTGGGAACATTTTGGAATTTCTCGTGGAGATTTCTTTGAGTAAGTGATGCCAATCTGCGCTGAAAGGCTGAGTAGCACTACACAATTGTTTCATCCTCAATGGGAATCGCAAGGAGTGGGTGTATCACAAAACTCCAAGGAGTCACGATTCTACACTTCTTGGCTAGTAGTTTGAACATGAGCGGCTGATCAGCAGTGTGATTAGCTTGAACCTAGGGGGAAGTTTTACGTGATCCTCAACTCTGATGATGTAACAGATATATGATGCTTGTAGGTTTCTGATGAATCGGCTTCACCTACAGAACGAAACCTCCATTAAAATGGTCCTCTTTCATCTCGATAAGTTCGAATGTTACTGTGGAGGAACGGGACGCCTAAAACTCTTCGAATTTCAGCATCGATCAGCTCCAAACTTTTCTAGGTTGACAGGTAAGCTTCGTCTCCCGAGAGCGATCAGTGCTGAAAGTATGATTAGATGTGGATTGATTTTAACGATTAGTGCATTTTCAACATGAGTTACCGAGGTGAGGTTTTTCATGTCAGTTACTTAAAGGTAACCAAACTTCATAACCTTCTGCTAGCTGGTTCACTCACCTTTGAAGGCGAATTACTGAATACCAAATAGTTGTTTTTAAATGGAGACTGGACCTTACCGTGGTGCGACGGTTTGCGCACCTCAGCGATCCATTGAGCTATACTGGAGAGTGTCCCGCGACACTCACAGAGTCTCTCATACCAGGTCGGTCAATGGTTAGAGGTCTGACGAACACAGTCTCCTGGCCCTCCAGGTTGGGGGTTGGAACATGTGGCGACTTGTTCCGTAGAAATGGTAATGCATTTGCATTTCCCGCCAAACACCGCTGCCTTGCGGTTAGGCTTTTGAGCCAAAGGCTTTGGTTGAGGACCATAATCCTCCCCCTGTCTAGGTGTGGGCGCCCTGGCAGTATCCCAGCCCTCGTACAACCATGACCTACACAACCAACAATATTCTCATGCCACATCGGCCGTCGCGTGGTACCATCAGCCGGGTCGCCTTACTTGCTGCATACAGAAAGCCGGTAATGCCCGGAGATTATTTCAGTTGATCCGTGCGACCGGTCCCCGGAAACCACCTGTGAGTGAAAGCATCAAACATCAGAATGGAACGACCATCTCTAATAAGGGGGAACGCCTTGACCGGTGGGCTGAATACTTTGAACA